TTTTCCTATTATATCATTTTGTTTCCATCAATGTTTATGATGCTACATATTGAATGCACTTCAGTTTCGAAGTTTTTTTTTTTTGCACATGTCATGATCTAAGTTGCTTTAAGAGCTTTTTACACAAACTAACTTAACAATGTTTTAACTTTACCAAAGGTAAGGTTTGATGGTATGGACATGTTTGTTTGCTTTTAGTTTGTTTGGTTCTACCCTCTGCAGATAATATCTTTTAGGCCTTCTATAATGAATATGAGGACATTAGGGCTGATGTTGGAGCTAAAGGTGAATGAGGACATGCAGGTTTGGATTTAAAGTATTGGGCCCAGTCTATTTTAATGCTTTATATTTTTTTTGAAATTTTATTTTTGTCCCTTGAACAATTACGAATAATAAGTCATCATATTTATATCTTTAGATGTCGAACATTCTTGACACAAGGATTACCATACACTTTATGTGCTCCTTGTACTCTCTGACCACAGATTATCTTAGGCACTTGCTGATGTTGTCAAGGAGTTCTATAAGGCGAGTTTTGTTAGTTAACATGCCGGCTATAAAAGGTTTTTTTTGCCAAAAATATGTATATATTCGTTCAAAATAATATTCATATTCAAAACCAAAACGAAAAGCGTTTTCCATTTGGTTTGGTTTTTCTATTACAATCATGTGTTTATTTGTTGTAATCATCAATCGATATTTTCACTTACATTTATATAAAATTTATACCCCGCCGCATTGCTCGGGTACAATTAGTATATATATATATATATATGAATGAAAATATTCCCAAATTAGCAACTATAGATAAACAGGAGCACCACCACACTATGCTCCTCAACATGGACCAGCTCCAGAAGATACCTTTCCAAACCTCATAATGTATTGACCACTTCCCTCTTAACTTTTAGAACAAGAACCTGCATCTTCAATCTTTGATTTTTCTTTTTTTCTGTTTTGGTCCCTATAGTTTTGTTCTTATAAATTTTACCTCTTTTATTATAGAATTGGTCTCTATCGCTAATGTTGTCTATCTTTTGTTCATTAATTGAAGTTATGTCTCCCTCACATGAGGATATTTTAATTAAAGATTAGGTAATTAGGATGTGAGACAGATTTGTCAATAGGTAATTATTGTTATTTTCTTTGTTATTACAATCGAACACCACCACCCTCAGTTTCACTGCTGACCACCATCATCGCTTTAACCAATAACTATCTAACACTACCCATCGCCAATATCCAAACACTTTGAACATATACAACCAATTTTTGCAAATTCATTCGAGAAAATAAAAATACAAGACTCCTTTATTCTAAATCAAAAACTAGAAATCACTCATTCTTCTTCTAAAGTTATTGTAGCTTGTTTCATCTGAAATTGGTATCTCCATAGTAGATCATGAAGACAATTGAATGATGAAGAAATAAGAAGTCCAAGAATCTAGATCAGAAAATAGCGACAGAGGAGAACAAAAGGATTCATATGAAAGGTCTTGGCTATAAATTTGGTAGCACTCTATGTCATTGTCCTCTTTTTTGCTCAAGAGAGTGTGTGTATGTCTCTCTTCACCGAGAGGATGTTGATGCCTATTCATCCTTCCAAATTTCCCCTCCTTTGAGTGATATGATGGAAGCATCTCCAATGAGCAATGAAGCAAATCCATATCTATGACTCTCTACAATTTCATTTATTACGATGTCTGCAAAATATATACAACTCGTTCCTAGTTACCTCCCCATGCATCCTACTCCGTCCTAAAAGAGCTCAACATCATCAATATCATCGTATGATCATCCATTTGTGGGACAAACACAGAAGATTGTACGACGACGACATAGTCAGAGGAGAGTGGCAGAGAGAGAGAGACTAGTAAGAGAGGTCATAAAGGGAGGTAGATGAGATTTTCACCCCTCTTGCTTCCTATTATGATTGGGGACATAGAGGGTTCTTAGAAAAAGACAAAAATACCCTACTCGTAAGAGGCATATAAGGGCACCTAACTGCTTGCAATTGGACAATATTAGTGGCAATGACTGGTTTTGTAACAAAAATGATTACTCAAAGACAAATTTATAATAACAGAACGTATAAGAGCAAAACTAAAAAAAACCACATACCAAAGGAATGAAACGTGGTCTACTCTATTTTTTACGTCCACCCTCTATTTATTGATTTATTTTTTATAATTTATCGACAACGGAAATTTAAACCTAAAACTGTTTTAAAATAATGTTATATCACATCAATAATAAAGAATCCCACCAACTTTGGGGTACAAACAAATACAAAATCCATATAATATCTTAAATTATCTTAAAATATATACATATTTTTCACTTTAAAAAGCAATATATTGGTACGACAAACCTTCCCAAATAATTGTAAACACACCATAAATGCATGCTTCAATTGGATTAGGGCAACAACGTCTTATCACTCTTAGAAATAAATAGAGACAAAGATCGTAGAGAACCCCCCCCCCCCCCCCCCCCCCGGGGTTCACTTGTAGCCTCCACACATCATGTATCATTTTCTCCCCCCCCAAAAAAAAAAAACTATGTAGGTATTCCCATTTGAGTCCTTCATCTTATAGTACATATGCATTTTAGGAATTTCTTAATTTAAAAAGAAAGAATCATTGTCTTGTTACTTATCCAACCACCCCCAAAAAGCAAAGCGTTTAGGGACCTGTCTCAAATGGCTTTATCTTGTATAGAATACAAATGAGATTGAGATCAATATTTAACTAATAATTTAAATCCCTAAATTAGTCATTGGTAGTAAAATATATCGTACTGTAAAGCCAATCTCAAAGCACACTCATGACTTTAAGACGACTTTAGCTTTCAGAAGAAAAAAACATTATAATATGATTAGGAGGTCGGGATTGATCAATGTAACGTGTTCAATTCGTTCTAGATTACACTGAAATTAACGAACTATAGCAGTTTGTATGCATCGGTGGCTTGAATAAAGTATAGTCTGTGTATTCTAAGAGTAATGGCACCCGAGTTAATGGTGCTAATTTTGATATTGAGAACGAACATGCATGATAGTCAACTCTTCCACATTCATTGTGTTTCATGAAAATTGCCATGATGCCCATATTTTGAGATTATTGAACGAATTACAACTGATCCATTGACACTACAAAACATTAGGCTTTTTCCGATGGTCAAATCCATCGAAAAACGTGATTCGACTGATAGAATCTTGTCAGGTCACTGTGAATTTTCCTAGTTGTTAACCCATAGGATAAATTAGTTAAGACTCATGCAAGTTGACCGATTAATACATGCTAGTTAAATATTTTAAAAGAAGGAAGAGAGAGAATTTTCATGGTATTAATTCATGACGACAAACAATACAATAATAATTTAGAATGGCTTTTAATGAGAGGAAAACTATAATATAAACAAAATGCATCATGGGTTATACCTTTATGCATGGAATGATTGTACCGAAACAAATACAACTACCAAACACGTAAAGGTCCAAATTCTAATACAATTATTCAGGTTATGCCCCATATGGTATGCTTCTGAAAAAGAAAGGGCACCAACGTGTCAATTCTTTAAACTTCAATCTTGCATCTACTTTACGGCATCGTCACGGCAACACTGCCGGAACTTTTGCAACTCAGGATTCCAAGTACTCCCCATGAAGTTTTCCGGTGATCACCAATCCGGCTAACAGCAAACCCATCACCGCCCTCCACAATAGGGAACAATGATTTGGTAGTATTCTGGATAATCTGCCGGTTTCTAATGTCCCGGAGATCCATCTCCGTCGGCACTTTCACTGGCCCAAACATAAGATCAGACCACCGAGAAGAAGAAGAAGAAAATTTATTACCTAAACTGTTACGGTGGATCTCCGCCGTTGGTTCACAATAATTGTATCTTGAGTTCCTGTTCAACTTCTTGTAATCCAAAGAGTGGCTGTTTCTAACGAGTCGAGTGGCTGTCGGGTTGTTGGTGGTGCTCTTTAACTCGCGCATTGACTCAGACCGCCGGCGATGGATTTGTTTTTGTTTACGAGTTTGATTTTGCATTCTTGGTGGTGGTGGTGGTGGTGGTTGGTCGTTGATGGGTATGAGTTTTCCGGCGAAGATGATGTCTTCTGCATGAGACATCCTGTGTTCTTCTGAGTAATGACCTAATCCGCCATTAAAAAACTCAAAGAAATCTTCGGAAGGAGTATTGGGAGGAAGATGATTTTGAAAACCTGAATCGCCATCATCTGTTAGGGGGAAATCTGCGAGGGAAAGTGTGTCGAGTGCCTCTAGTTCTTGTTCGTCGTGATCATCGTTAACACCCATTTCGCACAGTATGTGTGTGTGTTTTGGAGTTTTTAATTAATGGAGAAACAATAAAAAGAGTATAAAAGGAGTCAAAGCAAATAGATGTTGGAAGGCATACGTCTATATAAAGAAAGCATGTACGATTAAAAATGTGCATGCACTCATGATATGATTTATAATATAAGATAAGATAAAAAAGAAAAACAAATAATGGGATAATAGGGTTGGCAACAGGATCGAGCCATCTTGGTTCTATTCCTCTACCACATACTATACATCATACCTTGTTTGTATTCTCTACCACACACTATACATTAATTAGCTAAAATGACCATTTTCTTAATTTAAATTGGTTTTTTTAATCATTTACTTTTCGGTTTGACCCAAATGTTATTATATTTTTGCGAACCTAGCTAAAAGAAAAAAAAAAATCAAATTCAACCATTTTATCGTGGCAATTGCGGACCTGGTCGTCACAATTTCATATCTGGTCATTGCAATTGCATATCTATGTTGAATTTTATTTTTTTGTCCTTAAGTGAGACTGCCAATATTGCAGACCTAGATATTGCGAAAGTATTGACATTTAGGTTAACCCAAAAAGAAATTGTTAGAATACTATTTAAATGAGGGAGATGGTCATTTAACTCAAGAACTCATATATTATGCATAGATAGAGTATCAAGTTAAGGGGGGAAACTTGAGAAACATTCTATGATTCTAATAATACATTGCTCCATTGCTCTGTTTTTTTTTCCTATTTTTCACCTCTATTCATTTTTTCGGTTCTTCATGAATCTCACCCCTAATTGTTAATAATATGAGAACTACAAAAAATAAATTATATTTGATTTAATTATTTTTGCTTTAAATCTTTTCTAGTCGGTTATAGATAGTTTTTTGAATTAAAAGAATGTAGGTAACCAATTGCTAGAAGTTTGATAATTATTTATTCAAAAAAATGTTCGAAAGAATTAATTGTTCAAAACGGAAAAGTCCAATTGTTTATATATTTAAAAACAATTTAGGAACTTAATCATTTAAAATGGAAAAGTTAATTGATTTTTTTTTAATTTTCTCTTTTAAATATTGATCAACATATATTTGTTTCACAATAGATTTGCTTCACATGTACTTGTTGTAAAACCTTTGTATTTGAAAATTGTAAAGAGAAAAGAAATGAGCCAAGTCCGTGTTTGACACGGTTTCCTTAAAACAGATTCGCCACCAAATAGGGAGTCCGTTTCCTAGGATAAATGGCTGAAACGGCTTTAGAAAAAGAAAAATTGCTAACGTAAAAAAGTGTGAACTTTACCTTATCGCAGAATATCGAGATACGTGTATACATATGATGCATACACATGTGTACATATTACACACAAATTTCACGTATACACATACATTTAAATATATATACATCATCCGATACATGTATCTTCAACAATATAAATATAGATCTAATTATCGCGGTTAACAACCAACACGCATATATACACATCATATACATATGCACATACACATACACATACACATACACATGTACATGTGTACATATAACACATAAAAATTAAGAAAATAAGAAAAATAGGCTAATACCTCGTAAATTCCTTGTTGGTTAGCGATGGATGCCACAGGTCCATCGCAAACTCGTCGCTAATCAGCGACGGATTTGTGAGAGATAGGCCAAAACCAGTTATGTCGCTATTAGCGAGGGAAGTGGTTTTTTGCCTATCGGTAGCTAATCTGACGCACGTGGAGAGGGTCTTTCCTTCAATAAGTCTTAATACATACACTAATGAAATTACTTATAAATGTAACGAGGTTTCCAAAATCTACCAATGTAGAACAAACCCATTTCCATTTCTCACATCCCAACATTTATCCTCTACCCACTACTCTAACAATCAATTTATCATTCATATCAATTATGTTTTATACGTGCAACATGTGTCACATAGGATCCATCTTGACGTCTTATGTTCTCATTATCATGTTCGTAACGGTCATGAACATGTGTATGGTTTAGTAAGAGCTCTTAGGAATTGTGCCCCTTTCCATATACCTTCGAAGTGACCCCACGTCTCTGTTACCGTTGATCCCAGATCTCTCAATAACACTAATAATTAAGTTAAGAATAACCTAATTATATAGTTTGGATGAATAAAATGATGAACACTCAAGAACAATTGATGAACATTCAAAGAATATACTTAAGTGTCAAAGGTTTCACTTTATTCCAATGATTGTGAAAAACGTAAAAGAGTCAAAGATTACAATAGGCCTAACCACCTATTTATACTAGTAATGTAGACAAGAAGATAACTATCTAGTGAGACTATCTAGCAAATCTTCTATGGAAAGATAAAGCTTATCTAAACATGGATAATTAACAAAACAAGATAAACTTTGTAGAATCTAACTGTTGATTTGTCATCTCCAGCTGTCTTCTATGGGGCGTTATTTCAACCTTATCTTCATATCTTCATCGCATGCCTCTGGTTGAACTAGTGTAGAAAACTCCGTTGGTACCTAGAGGGGCTATGAAGATGCTCTTTCCATCGCATCTCTGGTCAGTTCATTGACCTTCTGGTTGTTCTTCAGACTTAGTTGTTTTTCCTTGAAATCTTCCATTGGCCTTCTGGTTCTTCATCACTTGTTTGTCTTCATTACTTCCACACATAAGACTTATGAGGTATAACAATCCCCCCCCTAAGTAATGAAAGAACAAACATGAACTAATCTAGGAACATTTAAATCATAAGTGATGAACAGAGGCTAATCTAAAGAAAAACATCCTTTGCCAAATTTTCATTCGACTAAATGATAAAACAAAATATATTACAATTCAAAGCATAAGTAAAACTACATTCATGGTCTCCCTTGTGATATTTCCCAAAAGCGCATTAACAGTCCTCTGTATTGAATGACTGTTGAGATCTCATGAATTAGTCTTTGTCCCTCTCCCATCGGCACATGAGATCTGCCTAGTCTGTCTCTAATGACCTTCTGAAACCATTCAAGTATTGATGTAGAGTACTTGAAGGCTTCAGTTAGCCTGAAGAATTTCTTTGCTCCAAACTCATTTTTGAATACCAGTCCCAGTTCTGGTTGAGTTAGTACAGAGGCATATCTCTTCTTCTGCAGGCATGGGAAGTCTTTATTGGGTAGAGTGCAGGATAGTCTGTCGGTGCCAAGCTGAAGAGCAATTTGAAATTCACTCTTAGCCCTATGCTTCACCAAGGTTTCCATCATTTGAACGATCACTTTGTTTGCCATCCCAAATCATATTCCTTGATCATGTCGATGAGTCGTATACGCATAAAGTTCAATCAAGTCATGAATTGAGATTGATCAAGTCATTGTCATTGAAGACGCTGACTTGACCATAGGCTCACTCCATGGTGTACTCGATATACTTGATGGCTCTATTTGCGAAGGTCCTCATCTTGATGTCCATGACCATCCTTATTCCATCGTTTAAGAAGACAGCTTGTGGTGGTTGGGTAGTCTGTCTTACAAACCTGTGGCATAGGAGGTTTATCGATTCTGGTGAAAGCATTGGAGGATTGAGAGCTAAACCTTCATTGCGATCGTGGTATAATTATTGATGAATGTTTTCCATCATCACTGGCTCCCTTGGCAACATCTGTGGACGTCTCCTTGGTGACTCCATGTTTGCAATTATTTCATCAACGACCCCTTGAGGAAGATCCCTCGATGAAGAGGGAGCGTCCGCTTGCACCTGGGTTGGTTAGGTTGTGGGTTGTGTTTGGGCTAAGGGTTGTGAATGGGTTGGTGATGGAATGGTTTCTTGTTGGGTTGGCTTGGATTGGGGTAGTTCAGGTTCATTGGGCTCAAGATGGGTGGTTTCTGGTTCATGGGGTTCTGTTTGGGTTTGAGGTTGTTGGGGTGAGGAAGGTTGGATGATTGTGGGTTCTGGTTGTATGGGTAAGGTGGTGAAAGGTTTTGTGGTACGAGGGATTGGTGAAGGAGTTAAGGGTAGGTTAGGAATTGGTGATGGAGTGAAGGGTAGGTTGGTATCTGTTTGTGGGGTAGAGGGGTTTTCGCTGGATGAGGAACTCAGCTCAATGGGTTCTTGGGTAGTGGCACAAGGAACATGTACATTGTGTACATCTTTAGAGGGCTGAGCCTCTGGTTCCCTCGCTTGAGTTCCTTGGGTTGATGGTGGTGGTTGGCTTTGTGATTGAGGTGGTGGTGGTGGTGCAACGGATTCCATCAGTTGAGCAGCCGTAGCCTGGTTCTCCCCCTTATGAGAACCAAGACCATCATCATTAGGGTCTGGATCCCCATGCCTTCGCCTCTTTAGAGGGCGGCTTGATGAGCAGGAGGCTCTGCTCCTATTTTTCTTCCATAGCCGGATGTGCTCGGCTAGTGTGCGCACTCGATCTCTGTTGCGTCTTTGTTCCATTGAGCAAAGATGATAGTTTGTTAGATCTTGCTGTTGGAGGAGACTCTTCTTCAATGCGTTGGTAGGCTCAACAGATCTAGTCGCGAACTTTGCCCTTATCTCATTGAATGATGAGATAAGTGCCTTTGATAGATCCCTGAGATCGGCTCTGGTGGCAAACTCTGTGGTGGATGATGAATCGGGTGGAGCCACGAAGCTGGAGGTGGATACGGATGATGGGATGGGAAGGTTGGCTATTATATCCTTCAACTCTGTAGCGAAAGAGAGGTCTTCATCGAATGATGGTACTGCAGAGGGAGGTGGAGGAGGACGTGGTTGGAGTATTTGGGCTAATATAGTGGCTGGGAGTGAGGTTAGGGTGGTTTGGATGGTGGCCATTTGGGTGGAGAGGGAGGCTAAGGTTTCATCAATAAGATGTAGTTGGGGGTGGGGTAGGTTAAGGGATTTGGGAGAGGATGGTGGTTGGGAGAGTGTTGAGGGTATGGGAGATGGTGTTTATTTGGGTGGTGATGGAAGTTATAGCCTCATCGGTCGCAGTTGCCTGGGCCGTGAAGGTGGCAATGGAGTTCATCATCGTTTGGTTTCGAAG